TTCGTTTTATAGGTGAATTTAGTCCATTTATATTGACCAATATTAATTTCACTTCTTCCTCCATCCTGTTACTTGTTCCTCTACTTGGTTTTGTTTCCCTTTGGTTTCTTGTCCTCACTCCTTCTCTTTCATGAACTTCTGTATCAGTCTTCTCTATCATTTCTTGGTCTAATCCTTTTTCCTCCGTCTGCTGCTCCTCTTGTCTTTTGGTTTTCAACTCCTCTCTTCTGTCTGATTCTTCCTCTATGTAATGTTTGTAGAATTCCTGGCCTTTATCTATGGTGTCAATCCTTATTTTCTTATCTTGCCAGGATATTAACATGCCTTCCGCTATCAACCAGTGGACCATTATATTATATTTTATGAGTTATGTTGAGAGAAATTTGAATGTACCATTAATCTTTATGGAAGGAAGAGGAGAAGAGGAGATTTTGGACTTACCAGAACTGGTGAGAAGATGGATCTTATCATTGCCCAACCAGAATTCTGATCCTTGCCTCCCAAATCCTTTCTTGTATGATTCCCAGTTATGGTAGAAATTGACAGAGCCATCCTGGCGCCTCTGGAAGACCTGATTGAGAGAGAGAATGTGCTTTCTTAATGTTAATGTTCCACTGGAGTCTCTCATACTGGCTTAGTAAGGTCTTACTAGGCTGCTGCTTTAAAAGTAAAGCATTGTGGGAGGGTGACTGCGTAATTAAAAAGTTGTTTGGAAGTACTACTACCAGGGGTGAGTTCCGGCAGGCCCTACTGCCTGTTTGCTCATGTGTGCACTGTGCACTTTTGCACGTGCATGCAAAATTGTTCTGCGCATGAACAGAAGTTAAAAAAAATGGTTATGGGGTGTGGCAGACCTGGGTCGCTGCTGGTTCCAGTGTCCCAGGCCTCCAAACCACTACCGGTTTGGCTGAACCAGTTCGAATCGGTAGGAACCCACCACTGACTACTGTCTATACCTAAACTGCAGCATGAAAAGGCCACCTTTGCTTTCTCTTGCACCTGGATCAAAAGAAAGGAATCAAGAACATCTGAGGTGGCATAGGATTGCCTATTTTTCTCAAGAATAAGGATTGCCTTCTCTTCTTTGCAGAGCTTGAGGGGATGGATGTTGAGGAACGGGGAAACATAAGGTCTCCTGAATTCTGCTTCAGGCAGGTAGAAGGGAGATTTCTATAATTTCCTCAAAAAACCCTGAGAGCAAGACAAGAAGTAACAGATGGAACCTTTTCAAAGGCAGATCCCACCTAGAACTAAGGAGAAATTTCTTGTCAGTGAGAACAATTAATCAGTGGAACAGCTTGTTTCCAGAAGTTGTGGGTGCTCCATCACTGGAGATTTTTAAGAAGAGACTGGAGGACCTTTTGTCTGGAATGGCATAGGACCTCTTGCTTGAGCAGGTGGTTGGATTAGAAGCCCTCCAAGGTCCCTTCCAACTCCGTGATTCTGTATTCTGGGTTGTGTACATAGATTCTCTAACCTGGCCCCCTCCAGGT